ACTCGCTGCCTTCTTTGGAATGCAGGAAGAGCAGCTGTCCGTTCCTGGTGGGCAGCCTGTCGTCCACGACCACCTCCACCCACTCTCCGTACTGCCAGAACTGGGGGTGGGAGAACACAGCAGCTGCTCACACGGACACGCAGATGGGCAGAGAAGTCTCTTCAGTGGCCCTCCGAGGGGGACATTGTGCTATCAATGTTCAAGTCTTGGACCTTTTGTGAGCTCCAAGCTCCTTATGAGAGGATTTGTGTCCTCCTCTGTGCACACACATAGGAGAGGCCAGATGAACCAGGAAGCATCTAGTCTAGACTCTGGGTGGTGGACAAGAGAGCTTGCCCAGCATCACCCAGTGGCAACAGTGAGTGACCCGGACCCACATCACCTGACCCTCAGTCCAAAGTGTTTGCCTTAAGGCACATGGCCTGTGGGAGATGGGAAGGGGTGGACGTGGGATGATTGGACAGATGCATAGGCAGTGGTTGTCAGACTTCAGTGTACATCAGAATTACCTCCAGGGACTCTGAAAACATGGGTTACTGGGCCTCAACCCAAGAGTTTCTGGTCTAGTAGATCTGGGTGGGACCTAAGAGCATGGAAAGTATGGCTAAGGCTATGAGTGAGGCACAATACCTGAAAATGAAAGATTCCCGCGTAGTTCTTCTGGAAGTTCTGGTCCTTGGGGACCACCCGGTAAAGCAGCTCCTCATTCAAGGTCAGGGAGGCAATGGCTGCCAGAAGCCAGCAGTCACCTGCACAGTGTCATGGGGGACACAGACTGGTCAGGCCAGGCCTGCAGGCTCCCTGTTTTCTGTGGCTCTCATTGTCCCATTCCACCCAGAGACCATATCACACCACTCCCCCCAAGTCAGATAGTCAGATTCTCTAAACTGCGCCTGCAGGAATCAGCTCCTGATGTGGAGGGAGCGGTTTACCCAGGACGGAAATTCGCTTCTCCTCCAGGTCACCCCCACGTGCTGACCACTTCACATCTCCTAGGCTCTCACCAGGGAGTAGAAAATGGGAAGGAAGAAAGAAAAAGGAAAAAAGTAGTCCCTTTGGTCCCTTATTAGCAACTCTGATAAATTTGGTTGGGGAAACACTGAAGCTATTTAGCCAACCGTGATGTGCACATGTAAGTGCATACGTGTGAGCATGCA